TCCTTACTTCCGGCGCGCGGTCCAGAAGCGGAAAACAGCCGGAGCGGTGGGAAGGTTCTGTCCGAAAATAAAGTTGGAACGGGAGAAGGGAAAACGGCGGACGGCTTCCGGGAAACGGCGAAAGAAAGGAGAATGTGTGGCAGTTTGGTTTGTGCAGAGGGAAACACCGACCAGGGTGTTGGCTGGTGTGTTTCGAGACCGGGCGGGCTCCGGCGCCTTTGGCCCAGCCGGAGAAAAGAATCGGAATAAACCGGGACGAGTGGCCCGTCGGGGGTGGCCAAGGCCGCCTTTCTGTTTATTCCATTCCTTTCGGAAAGAAACTCGGGAGAACGGCCGTCCCGGAGCGTCCGGAAAGGCGAGAGTCGGACGACCCAGTGCAGTCTTAACCTATTATTTCCTATTTTCCTTCCCGGCCGGGACTAATTGAGTCTCGATTATCCGTCCGCTTAATTAAGGAGGAGTGCGGGTCGGACGAACCCGGCAAAGACCGGAAGCGGGAGGATTGGATGGACTACGAAACCGTAAAATTAGGAGAAACGCAAAGGGGGGAAAGGTACTTCTGCCCGCGCGGAGAGTTCCGTCATGCCGGCGAAAGGCGGCGGGCCGAGCCGAAAAAAGAAGAACGCTTTCCGGACGGCCGTAGTCCGGAAGGACTGGGACCGGGCGGAGAGGAAGCGAAAAAATATGGCTTTTCTCTCCGAAAAAACGGCACCACCGGCAACTTCTCGCCCCGCAGACGAAGGAAGTAATAATCGACCGACACCGACGTCCCGAAGTCGGGCGAAAACCCATTCTTTCCTCGTCTCCGCCGACATATTTATTTTAACCCGGAGGCCGCGGTGTTAGGCCTTTTCCGGCCGCACCCGCCACAAAGAATGACGTTAGCGGAAATGACGGAAGGGGCAAACGGACGCATCTTTAGCGGGTGGCCGGACTGGCTGCAAAATTTTAGCACCGGCGGATCGGCCGTCTTCCCCTCCACCGCGTTTTTCTGCGTTAGCGTCGACACGGCCGCCTTTGCTGCCGCCTTGCCGGGTGAAACGTCTTTTCCGATTCCGGAATATTTTCCGGTAATACGTAGGTCCTCCCGAGACGGCGCCTCCGTTTCTTTCTCCGTCCGCCGAGATAACGACGAAACCGGAAATTCGGGCCCGAAACTTTAATTGGCCCTTGGTTTCTCCCGCGGGCCCGACCGCGGGAGAAAGGAAGAGCCGTCGATCGGACGGGACTTTCGGAACTTAACCCCGGGAGAAGACGGTCTCCCGCCGCTTTCCTTTATTTCGGGCCGAGTCCGTCCGGCGCTTCCCAAATTTGCCAGCGTCTTCGCATCCTCCGACGCTCAGACTAAACAAACCGCCGGGCGACTCTCTTTCCTCCGTCCGCGCTCGGGTTCGGCGCCCGGGCCGGAAAGCGGGGGAGGTCGGTAAGAAGAGGGCTCTACGGGGATCCCGTCTTTGGCCGCGCGTCCTCCCCGGGCGGGAAAGGGCGACCGCCGGAGAACAGGTCGGAGGCCCGCCCCGAAAATTAGCGGGTCGACGGCGAGGAATTCCGCTCCGCCCGTCGTTACCGCGTCGTCGAACGGAGAATGCGGCGCCCCGCCCGTCCGGGCGGCGGGCGTCGTCCCGGCGCGCGCGCCAGACGGCCGGGTGGACCCGGGCTCATTCCCAGCGGCGGAAAGTCGGAACCGTACCCGACGGGCGGAAAATCGGCCCGAGCAGGGGGAAAACTCCGGAAGGGTCCGAGGGAAAAGGGAAAAAGGCGGAGGCGGCCGGCGTCTCGACCTCCGTTTAACCCGGGGCGGAGTCGTCTGAAATTCGGGGAGGCGCGCGGTCGACCTTAACGAGAGGCGAATTTCGGTCTCTTGTGGAAACGATGGGACGGGGGCGCCGTGGGGGGAAGCGTCTCGGGTTTTAACCCTTAGCCGAAACCGCGCGCCCAAGTAAATCCCGGAGACGCCGGTTTGGGGAATTCCCTACCGACTTTTTTCGGCCGAACGACGGGAAGATTCGTCTGGCCTTTAATCTTATTGTACTCCACGCGCCGCGTAATAAGATAAACGCCCGGGATATTAGCGCGCGCGACGGCGGTGGCCGGAAGAGGAAAACGTCCGGCCACTCGGGCGCCGGCGCGCGAATCGAAAAGAAAGGAATGACGCCGTCTTTTACCGTTTTCAGCCAAACCGGCCAAACTGGCGGGTCTGAAGGGAGTGCGAGTGGAGCCCGACCAGAGGATCCGCCTGCGATGTCGAGTGGAGGGTTTCCCCGTGCCCTGGGTGCGGTGGTACAGAGACGGACAGAGGATCGAAGCCTCGGACAGGATCAGGATCCGCAACAAAAGGTGAGTGCGGGCGGAGGGCGGCGGCGGAACGGAGTGTGACGGAAAGACTCTTTGCAGGAGAGACAGTCGACTGCTGGTCCGGAGAGCCTCGTCGGCCGACGGAGGGAGGTACGAGTGTCGAGCCGGGAACGTGCTGAGCGGGAGGACGGTGGCCCTGTCGGCCTGGGTGGCGGTGGCCCCCGCCGCCTCCGCAACGCGTGAGTCTCTCTCTCTCTCTTTCCCTCCTCCGCCCTCCGCCCCTCTTCTCACCGCCTTTCTTTTCAGAAGCCACCGCCCTGCCGTACGAGGGAGAGGAGTGTCAGAGGACCAACTACTGCCTCAACGGGGGAACCTGCATCTACTTCCGGTCCATCGGCGAACTCTCCTGTCAGTAAGTGCTGTTTTTTCTTCCCCTCCCGGCGGTTTTCCCGGCCCGACTCGGTCGTCCGTCCGGTAAGTACGGAGGGCGGGCGCCGACGGGGTCTTCTCCCGGAATGCCGGGGAAGTTTCTTCTCCGAGAAAACAACCGGAGGAAATTTCCTTTTCCGGTCGGATGGTGCCAGACGGACCGGGCGAAGGACGGTCGGCGCCCGCTCCGGACCCGGACCCGGAGTGGAAATTGGCCCGCTTCCAATCTGCCGGCGGCTCCGCCCGGAAAAGAGGAGCAGCGGGCGATTCTTTCCGGTCCTCGACGCTCCTTCGCCCAAATCTTTATTACCGCCGCTCAATTTCCTCTTTTTCCGGCAGGATGTTGCCAAGGCGTGGGAGGAAGGGGAGACCGAAAAGGGCCGCGGAGTTTCCCGGTCGAGTCGAGGCACCCCGGGGCGAAAGAGGCGCCGGGCGGGGGCGATGGACGGCCGTAGCGGTCCTTCGAAAAGAGGTGGGAGGCGACGGCGTCGACCTCCGACGGGCCCATCTGGTATCGGTTAGACGCGCGGCGCCGGAAGGACCCGCCCCCTCTGGGTAAACCGGATCCGGAAAAAGGGGGCGGACGGAGCGTAAGGGTTAGAAAGGGGTGGCCGGCAAAATCCCCTCCGAAGGATTTAAAACCCGTTTGTCGGCGCCACGGGGAAGAAGACGAAGAATAAGAAGTGTTGGCGAAGGGGAGGGGAGGGGAGGGTCGCTCTTCCTTCCGCGTAACGAAATACACCGACGATTAAACGTCGGTGTATTTCGCTTATTTCCTCTTGTTGTTTGGAGAAACTAAAATCGGGCCTTTCTTTCCGCAGCTGCGCCGACGGATACAAAGGGAAGAGGTGCGAGAGCAAAGACGTCTCGCCGGTGGCGGGTAAGTATTTGTTTTTGGTTCGCCCGGCGGGAGTCGCCCCGGCCACTCAACGCGCCACCTGTCTTTCAGCCGCGCCCAAGGTGTCGGTGGACCTGGACGAGACTACCAGAGTGCTGCAGACCTACTGGGGCAAATAGAAGCCGAGTACGTATGCTTCCCGCCGGAAACGCCGCCCGCTCCCACCGCTGCCACTAAATGCCCCAATTTTTCTCCCTTTCAGGTACTCTCGGACGGGAGGCGTCGGACGCGCCCGGACCTTCGGTAATCCTTTTCTTTTCTCGCCCGTTTATAAGACGCGGCCGGAGGGGGAGAAACGCTTCCGCCCCCGGCATTTTCGCGAGAAAGACTTTCCGGACGTCAACGGGCAATTACAGATTGGCTCGTCTTCTTTTCTAAATTGTTTGGCCACATTCCCGCGGCTGAAGGCGCGGCCTCCTCCTATTCCCGTACCGGGTAATCTCGTGGGTCTGGCGCGGTGAACAAACACCCGTCTTTCCCTTTGTCCGCGCCCGAACCGCCGGAAAAGAAGGCCAAATCCAGTCCCAGCCCGGAATTTTCCCGGTTTCCGGCCATTTTTCGGCCACTTTCGTCGGTCGAAAGGGGGAAGAATCGGCATCGGACTCCGGGAATTACGTACGTCACTGGAATGCCGGGCCCGAGACGGGGTGGAAATCTTTTGCCGGGTTATGGGAAAACGTGGGAGAAGCGTCCGGTAGTCGGAAGCCGAACGATTTGGGGGAAGGAATTTACCTTTGTGTTTTTCTTTCAGAGCGGAGAAAAGGGCGGCGGAGGAGTGTTCGGTCGTCGTTCCTTTCCGGACCCGTCTCGACCCGACCGGGTAATTTCTTGTCCGCCTCGGCCCAGCTGCCAAACTACCGGACTAACGGAATTTTCTTGCAGATGGCTCGACCTCCAGCAGCGGTCGCAAGACGCTGGCCCACTTTTGTACCATAGGTTCTCCGCGTTTAACTTATTCGGGAAGAACCGTCGTCGTTCCTTTTATTCTATTTATTGGAGACAAGTTGTTTCCGCGGTTTTTTGACGACTACAGCCGTTTGTAGGATGGGGGGTCTTCCCTCCGCCCGCGCGCATTTATATACACTTATGTTACCGTCACCTCAGCTAGTCACTGTTTTTCTACTTTTTCCTACGCCGGAGGACCGAAGACGGAAGACGACTCTTCTTTTAACGTCCAACAACGCGGGTCGATCGACTCGCTTCTCTTTGTACATTTTGTACATATTTGTGTAAAATTGCGGTTTTCCGACCAAGCAATAAACATCGGTCCGATTCTTTATTTCTCTTTTATCCAACGCTCGACACCAATCCGCACGCGCCGCTAAATACCGGAAGATGTCTGGGACCGAACCCTCGCCACTTCCTTCCTACGCGGGGGATAATCCGGAAGACGTCGAAGGTTCGGAGGGAAGGAGTCGGCGCGCGAAAGCGCCTCAGATGCCGAGGGGGAGGATGGAGAGAAAGAGGAGTAGAGGCCGGGGGACGACCAGTCCGGAAGAGCCGAAGAGTTTTTCGGTTCCGCAGGTGTAATACTCGAACACCGGATGGTTCTTCTTCTTCTTCTTCTTGCTCTTCTCGTACCAATAGACGGATGCGGACGGGCGGGAGGATTCTTTCTGGCAGCAGACGGTGCACACTTCCTTTCGGATGCCCACGCCCCTCTCCACGCACATCTCTCGACACCGGTCGGCGCATCTCCTGTCGAATCCCGCCAGCACTCCCATGATGGTGGTCAGCTCGGCCTGCAAAGAATTTCCCCTTTTAACTCGGGCGTGGCCGGCGGCGGCGGAGGGACGGGCGGATATTTACCATACAGTATTTGGCGCGACAAGTGGTCATCCTGTCCTTGGACCTCTGCGGAAGGAAGCAGTCGTGGGTGCCGTTGAATCTCTCCGCCGTCAGATCCAGGAAGCAGGTGTGACACTCGATCTTGGGGAACTTGTCGTTGCTCCGTCTGGAGTTTTGCGCTGCAATTGCCACAGGTTGGAAAAAAGGCCATCCGCACCCCGGTGGCGCCCGAAGGGTCACTTACCTCCACTGGCTCCGGCGGACAACCAGAGAAGGATCCGAACCGCGTCTAGAATCCGCTTCATCGCTCCCCGGGGACCCGATGCCGAATGAAGGCGCCGGGGGGGCGACCGGCGGCACTTTTAAGGATCGCGTGTCGGACGGACGGAGGCAGTTAAGAGCCAAATCGTGTAACGGGTAAATAGGTTCCGAGTAAAACAAATGGGTTTTCGATCGAAAGGCAAAAACCGCCGTTTATTGCGGGAAGTTCACAGTAGAGGGAGGACGGCCGACGGCAGCAGGAGGAGGAGGAGGAAGGAGGAAGGCGGTGGGGAGGCGGCGGCGGCCCGCCGGCCCAGTTTGTCGGTGCCGCAGGAGGCGTCGTCGGAACAGCAGAAGGTGCACACCTGTCGGGGGATGCCCAGAGCCCGGTCGAAGCAGGCTTCGGCGCAGTCGTCGGCGCACCGACGGTCGAATCCGGTCAGCACTCCCATGACTTTGGTCACCTCCGCCTGCGGAAGAGAGAGAGAGAGAGTGGATGGACCGGAAGCGGACGGCGGAGGCGGAGAGAACGAACTCACCTGGCAGAAGGCGGCCTTGGGACTGCATCTGGTCAGCGCGTCCTTCTTGGGGGCCTTTCTGTTGGACTCGGACGGAGGCATCAGGCAGCTGTCGTTGGCCGAGAAGGAGGTCCGGGTGAAGTCCACCGAACAGGCGTAGCACTCCAACCTCCGGGACAGAAGCACCGCCTGTCGGACTCTTCTGGACGGCAGCGAAGCTGAAAGACGGAGCGGGTGAGCGCGGACGGAATCCTCCGCCCCGCCGATGGCCGTTGCCGTCGGTATCCATGGAGACCGCGGCCAAAACAAACGGCGACGGCGGGGAAGACGACGGGAGGGGAGAGGAAGGACTACTCACGGGCCCGACAGCACGGGAGGAGGACCAGGGTCAGCAGGAAGGAAGCGGTCGCCACCGACATGGCCAGCGAGACGAAAGAAATGCGGGCTCGACCGGAGCCAACAACCAAGCGGTTGGGGTCCCACGGGGGAATAGCGCGGCGATTCCGCGAAACTGGGACCGGAGTCACGTAGCTCGATCGATCCCGCCGCCTCTTTTTCAATTAGGCCGTCTTTCCTCCCCTCTGTCCGCGCTTCCCCCGCGGCGGAGAGAAACAGACGCCGGCAAATAGGGGAAAGGCCGACGGGACTGGGACCTTGGCCGGTAAAGGCCCGGAAACGGCCGAGGACGGACTCCGTCGCGCTCTTCCGATCGATTTCGCCCGGGATAATCTTAATGGCATCCGGCCGCCAAGTTTCGAGCGCGAGAAGAGAATTACTTTTATTCCCGGATGGGAAGGGTCCGGCCTAACGGTCGTGGTTAAAGTATTAGGGATTTTAAAGCGGCCACTGTGGTAATATAAGGCCAGAGATTTCCGTCGGCGTTAAGTAAGGCGGTAACGGCGGCCTAAAAAGGCCCAATACGTACCGCACGGTAGGTCGGTTAATATCCGGCAAAGAGATAAAAACGAAGAAGCCCTCGACTTAACCCACGTCTGGCTCGTTAGCGTTTACGAAATTTTTAAAACTCGTCTGTAGCCTTAAAATGAAGTTTTTCGCTATTTCGCCATAATTTACAACATTTTTATAACACCATCCGATAACAGATGGCGCCGCATACCATTTGGTTTATAATTAAAAATATACCGTAAAAGAAATTGGATGAAAAGCGCCACGTTTCGAGCGGCCTTTTGCGGCTACGGATAAAATCCAACGGCGAATAAAAATATTGCGGGCATTCCTGTTAGCGGCCATTTCCTATTATCTCGGAAGGGGTGAAAATTAACAAACGAAATTGGCACGGCGGCGTTTGATTTAAACTCGTATCGAAATCCAGTCTCGTCCTTCTATAATAATAAAAATGTAGCCAACTTTTATAAAATCTCCTAACGCCGCGCGCAATTTTATTTATTTATTACCATTAACTTTATACCGTGTTAAAATCGCCCGTAATCGGTAGCCACCGGCGTCTACACTCCCACCCGGCGTTAGTCGTAAATCCTGCCGCTGCGGCAAACGGCGCCCGTAGCCGGAATTGGCTGAGTGGTATTTTCTGGCGGTAAATAGGGGCCGTCCGCGCCAGTCGGACGACGGGGGGACGGGGCGAGCTACGATGGACGTCCTCCCCGCGCCTCTTAATCGTTACGTCAAATTTCACCAAACACTAAATTTTATACACTTTGCGCATTTTATCATACCAGAAATTTTGAAATAAATATATTTCGTTTCTACTTACCGTATCTGTCAAAATATAAAGCCATAGAGGTTTTAAGGGGGGCCGACTTTTGTCGGACGTCCGAAGAGGGGAGGGAGTAACCCATCCCGGGAGAAAAAAAGGAGTAAAAATTTCCAGAAAACTCCCAAAGTAATTTACGGACAGCCACTTACAAATTACCAATGCTTTATTCGTATTTACTATTAGTTAAAACGAATGTAAAAATTCTGGACAGACATAATTTTCCACCAAAATAAATACGGCAGTGTTTAGAAGGGAATGCTCTTAACTCGTAAGATTATAAGGAGTGGCCAAGAAAATAAAACATAAAACGACTTAAAAGACGGTATTTTCTCGCTCTAAACACGTTCTAGTAGTGACGTAACGAATATTCGGTTACTATTCGGTATCGGGCCCAATACCCATTACCTAAAATCAGGAGTAAGAAATATCAAAAACGCAGTAAATTAATCATTTCGGTATTTAATGTTATCGGGTTATTGTTGTTTGTTTATATCTATTTACTAGCCGTTACCCGCGACTCGGCCCGCCAGGATTTCGCCACCAAACCCCATTTATATTCCGTATTCCGACAACCGTAGTAATTGTTAAATAACACCTACGCCGAGAATCGAACCAACTATTTTCGATTCGATCAATTTTCTGGAACGTTTACGATCGTTCTGTAATCGAAGCGATACGCGATAACAAATTCGAATTTAAAATGGTTCGAACATTTGCTTAAAAAGTCGAAATTTATAAAATTATTTATAACAATGTCCGAAATGTTATCGATTTAATACACCTAAGAACTCGACGAAGACTAAACGTTGTTGAAAACGAAAAATCACATGTAAAATAGTACGGTAGAAGCCGTTCTTCGGGTTAAGCCTTAATGTTCTCACACTTCCCCATGAGGAATTTCCAAAAATTCCTTCTTAGTGCGCGTTTTCCAGATGTACCCGAACTGCGTACCAAAATACACCTCTTTAGGTTCGGCGATTTGCTCTGGGCGATGATGAATCACTCGGTCGGGACAAGAAATTTTATATATTCAGATAACTTATAAGAATAAAAAAGAAAATACAGTAGATCCCCCTATAAAACCGTTTCCTATAGTTATGATTCATATAAAAATTGTGGAATTATCCGTAAACAACGGTAAAAATAACTCCTATAATACGTAAAACGTCATCGGGCAGCCGAACTACTTACCCGCCGTCGGTAGCGCCACGCTACGGACGTTTAGTCGGATAAATTGAGTTTAGTATCGTCTGTTCATATAATTATATATAAATTAGGTACTGTACATATATTTATATATTAATTATATATAAATTAGGTACTGTATATATAATTATATATTAACTTAATTTATTGTAACTTTATTATAATTAAATATATATTTTTCGCGGTCTAGCGTCACGCTACGGCGAGTTAGGCGACCTATCGTCTGTTTAGTACTGTAATTTTATACATTTCTTGTGAAAGAAACATTTCTTATTTAACGGCCATAAAAATTATTTATATTAATGACGTCTCCAAAGGTCAACGAAGTTTTCGCAGAAAAATAATATCAGAAATCGCGGCCGCAATTTGATGCGCTGTTCCGCAACGAAACTAAGCTTTAGCAACGAGCGTAGTCGAAGGGTACACACTCGGTAAGTAATCCTACAATTTTTTGTTTATAACGTAGTTTATACGGATTATTTTTAAAAAAATATACGTATTTTGGAAATGTTGAGTCGAATTAGTCTAGAATCGATTAATTTTATGAAAGAAAACCTTTCAAACAGCCGTAGTCCGTAAACTATGATTCCTACAAAATTGATTCATAAAGAACGGAACGTATCTACCGTCTTATAGGGGGATCTACTGTATTAGTCACACGTATTCACAATTTATAATTACAACGATCAGCACACGTACAGTACACACCTATTCGTTCGAGAATCGTCGCGCATCCCAGGGTGCGCCACGATTGCCTATCCTTCTTTTTAAGCGCTCGTCTTCGCTCTTCCCTTTCTCTTTCCTCTATCGCTCCAGTCCACTCGTGCCTACGCGTACATCGTAATACGCGCTCGCGATACTTTTCGACGTAGATTTCCCATTTTACAATTACGCGACTCATAGCCTGGCGATAACGGAAAAAAGAGACAGACAGGACGTCGGTATAAATCTCAGTTACGATTTCGCGCATTCGAGACAGCTCTGTAGCCCGAACGGTCCCGGGCTTTCGCCCGTGCACGCTAAGTGACTTTCGTTACAAGCGCAGGGCCGGATCATCGCATAGACATATGAGACAAATGTCTAGGGCCCGGTCAAACTGTCTATTTTGAAAAGATTTGTAAATAAGATAGTTTACTTCTCTGTTGGACAACTGTATATAATAAACAAAAATATACAGTATTGCTTTTTATATGGTTATAGTGAATTCTAAAATCTAAAGAAAATGTACGAGGGTTGTTCAAAAAGTTCCCGAACTTTTTGAATAGCGCGCCTCCAGTTGGTTATTTTTTAATTCGCTTGGAGGCGTTGTGTCCGCGGAAACCTCCCGAGTAACCTCCTTTAGCCCATTTGTTGATATCTTGTTTTGGTGATTAGTTACTGCCGTTTATGTGAAGGGGTGTTTGTGGGATTCGGCGAAAACTCGGATCCGCGGAAATCAGCTCTTTGAAAGAGCAGCGTTGTTCTGTGAAATTCTGTGTGAAACTCCGAAAATCCTTCACGGAAACTTCCCACGGGTGGGTGAAACAGCCCCCGCTGCAAAAAAGCTCGACAAGTTCGCTCAAATGTTAAGGTGATGTTGACTGTTTTTTCGATGCAAAGGGGGGTTGTGCATCACAAATACCTATCTACAGGCCAGACATTCAACACGGAGTAGTACTTGGTGTTATGAGACTCCTAAGAGACAGAATCAAGCGAAAACGGCCCGAACTTTGGAGGAGCGGCGAGTGGTTTTTTCATCACGACAACGCGGCGGCGCATTTGTCCCTCCGAATTCGTGAGTTTTTCGCCCCCCTACTCATCTGACTTGACACGAAGAGACTTTTTCCTGTTCTCCAACAAACTAAAAAACACGCTCAAAGGAAAAAGATTTGCCACCTTTCCAGAGATAGAAAAAACGACGGAGGAGCTTACGAGCATTCCGGAAAAAGCGATCCACGACTGTTTCAAAAAGTGGAAACACCGTTGAAATAAGTGTATACGTTGCGGAGGAGACTACTTTGAAGGGGACCCTGACAAATATGTGAAGTATGTGAAGTATTTTTTGTAATAAATAAAGTTCAGGAACTTTTTGAACAAACCCTCGTATTCTTATGTTTCTTCTAATTGAAAGTAAAAGAAAATTCCCAATAATTTAGAATTATTTTTATAGCGATAAGAATAATATTAACTATATGTATTCTTGAATCCTGTGAAATATTGTTAAATAATTTCACTTTTATTTTTTATAAAGCAGCTGCAGTGTCCGTATGAAATTTAATAGAAATAATAGTAACAAGATTTATTAATTGAAAGAGCCGGGAGGGTACCCGGAAGAAGAAAATGTCTAGGGCCCCAAAGTGGATTAATCCGGCCCTGTACAAGCATTAAACTTTCGAAGTCTATGACAACAATTGTTTGGCATCGACGGCCGCGAATTTCGCGCCAATAAGCTGCTTCGACTCGTTCGATTAAGTTATCGACTCAATTTCATATTTATTTTCACATTTTCACTTCTCTGTTCTTTTTCCGGTGTAGGTCATTTCATTGTTATCCACATTTGTCATCGTCATTTATCGCATACCGCCACGACGCTCGTCTGTCCGCTACAACTGTCGAGAATTAACGCGATTGGCCAAGCTAGTGACAATAGGCCAATAGAGAGCGGGACCCTTGCCATAATGCAATTTGCGCGCCAATTTTCGTACGTGCGTTAATCGAGCCGAATAATTTGGCCGAATGTACTATTCATCGCAACACTAGTTTCTACATATGTTTTCTGGCTACGAACTTCTTCAATTCCAAAGTTATGTCAGAACCGTATACGAGAAATCATAACACAGTTAAACTTCCATTTAACGGGCATTTTTACAATCCCCACGCCCTTCGATAGGACACCCATTATATTTACTTACAAATAACGGACATCGGTCCGTAACTCGACTAAAAAGGTCGCGCCTTCGATATTCCGAAAGAATTAATTACGTACGAGATATTTTAAAACTAAAAGAATCGCTTCGAATGCTCTTTGGGAGGACGAATTTCGACCGTAGGCGCGAAACGAAGACGGCGAAAACGGGAACGGGGAGGAGGACGGGTGGTAAAATGCCGACGCTAATCCGGTTAAGTCGTCGATGGTCACTTACGCCCGTACGTACGAACGTTATTAAACTTCCGTCTCATCGTCGGAATTAAGCTTACGGTACGAACTTTTCCCGAATTATTCAATCATTCGACGGGAACCGTAGTACGGTGGTAACGGGAAAAGAAACTTAAACGCCGTTTACAACAGCGTTTAGGGGAAAGTAGGGTAATAGGCTAAACGGTTCAGAATTTTCAATCCCAATAAATGCTCGCATCTAGCGGCTGCAAAGGCAATTTCGAATTCTGAATATGGCGGCTGTTCTACGCACCAGCTCGATTGTGCGAAGAAAAAACAGTTTTGTGCATATGTCTTCTAATCGAACACTATCATTTGTTCGACTGTATCAGTGGTGCGCCGTGACATTTGACGATAGGGAAGCCGTGTTCGTGTAAGAAGCCGACTTCCAGGGCCAATCGGTTAATTGCGCGTCAGCGATGGTCTAGGGTCGATTCGGAACCCAACCGGCCCGAAACAGAAGCGCAATGCTCACGAAACTTTAAGGATTTGACGGAACATAGTTAAGAGGTCTAAAGACCTATAACTCGGCTAAACGCCGGGAGCAGTGGCGTACCGTGGATGTCAGCCGCCCGGGGAGGAGGAAAATTTCGGCTTCCCCTTATTTACGTATTTCAATTTAAAAGACCAAAATTCAGTTTTGTCACGGAACAAGCAGTGAAAAGTTCGTGGTAGTGCAGCGACCTGTTTAAAATAGATCTATTGGATATTAGTGGTGTATATGAACGCGAATGAACCGTACAAGCAAAAAAAAAGGTCAACAGGTTTCGCAGGGTTTCCTCGGATGAAACAATTACTACTTCACCCGGACGGCGAGCCGATTCCCGGACGATAGCACTATCTTAGGCGCGATGCCAGTATAAATTAGGATGTTTCAAATTTTTACAAGATATTATTATTATTTATTGTGAAATTTTGCCGCCCCTGCCGCCCCCACTACGGTACGCCACTGGCCGGGAGGGCCACTTTTGGGAGGGGGTCCCGCTGTCCGAAGAGTCCAGCGTCACTCGGTTCTCGGTCGAGTGTGTACGAACAGTTTAAAGCTGCGAAAACTACGTAAGGGTTAGAGGGTTGGACTCGAGAGCGAGAAAGGCGAGGAATATCCATCCCCATTGGGTTTGTACTGCAAGAGTCGAAGCTGCCTCCGAGTCACCTCAGCGATTACTTACCGGGTGCCCGACAAACCGATGATTAAAATACAGTCTCTTAGTACTCCGTAGTGCCATTTGACGGGGCAGAGGCTATTTAGACTTTGTAATACGAGATAGGGTCCATTGGTATTCGTTTGTTCGATAAGCCAGTAAAAACCGCAGACTTCTCTAATGGAATATCTCACGCACTTAACAATTAAGCCAGTTCCATATAATCGCGTCAAATTTTCGTGGATGTCGAGCCTAACGAAAATTTTTATAATAATAATCGTGGCTATTGTATCGTTAAAAAGTATTTCTTTACTTTTTACAAACAAAATAAATTTATTCAAAATACAAAAACAAAAAATTATACTTTACAAGTTAATCTAATATCAAAAACGTTCGATTCGGCACTACGCGGTCCGTCGATCCCGTGTAAGTAATGGTCGTCGCGTTTATCTCCCTTCGCTCCGGGGATTCCCATGCCGGGTCGTCGTTTGGGAAGAACACACTCGCCAACGTGTTTACCGTCTTTTCAATCCCTTCCGTATAATCGTCGTTCTCTTTTAACGCCGTTAGATATGGCGGCAGCTTGTTTCCTCGCGCCAGCTTCGTATAGGTCCGTGGTTCCCAATTAGTGGTAGGCCAAATTGCGCCAAGGGGTACGCGCGTCAATCTAAAATCGGTCGATTTAAAATTTAAATGCGCGAGACGAAGCCATCAAAAAATAACGGATGGACCATCAAAAATTCGGCAATTTACAACGCGATGTGCGATGCACAAATTCGTTTATAACTAAAAATATTGTGGAAATTTCATCTAAAAATGCATTTGTGACAATACCTAAATGAAATTCTTAGGCGAGAAACAAAAATTGTACAATTAACGCAATTTGTTTTGGCGAAATTAATTTTGAAAATTTTTGTCGCCGTTGCCAATAACTCCAGCGACCACCTTCCCATCTCCGACCGAGAGGAATTAATAGACATTTCGCGCAACAGCGGACTCGAGCGATCGCCCAGTAATTTTTGGGTCGACCTAAAAGACATTTATCGTGTCGGCAATAAAATATTTACTACCGTTTCGCGCGACGTACCTCCGGATTTTCGTCCGTGACAAACACGAAAACTAAACATCGTCACCGACTTCGACTCGAAGATGACTCGAGACCGAAGCTGACCCAAAACCCACCAGATTTTACGCCAATTTGAGCTCTTTCTTGAAGTGGTACGCGGGAAAAGTAATTGAGAACTCCGTGGCTTACTACAGCCTCGAGTACAGAACTCTTTCCGGGACTCCAGTTTATTATCTTTAATATATGGAGTGATGTGGAAATTTGGAAAATGCGGAAAAATTTGATTTTGAAAACTAAATTGAAAAATACAAATGGAAAGTTTTGCCGCATTTAAGAAATTTCCCATAATTCGTGGAAATGGCCGTCCATTTCGCGTAAAGAGGGCAGCGAGCGTAGCCGAACGGAGCGCCGGCCTTACCGTCAAAATACGCGTAAAAGTCGTAGCGATAATATCGATGTATCGCTTAGTGCCAGCGAGTTGGCGACGGCTCGGTAGTTTATCTTTAAAGAATACCACCGCGTTAGTCGAATTTCTGGCGGCAAAAGTATTTAAACGCGATACCGGAATAAGAAAAGAAAATGTGTTAGTTTTGTTTCCAACGTGACAAGTAGTAAAATGTATATTTAAGCGTTAATCTTCGCTGTTACTTTTTGCCCCAGCAACCCGCTAGTATTTCATATATTAGAATAATTTATTGTCATCTGGAAATTGGTTCCGCGCATTCGACCCCCGTGCACATCCGACGTAAGACGGAAAACGTAGGACCGACCGACCACGCGGTAAACTTAAAATAATCGGAAGAAAGAGTGCCGGTAAAGGAAGCGGTAGAAACTATAGAATTTCGATAGGTAATAGGATACGTCGGTAAAGAAATGAGTTTTAACAATTTGTTAACGACAAACGGTACACTCCGTTCTGGTCAGTTGCGTTAAAACAAAGTTCTCGTTACTCAAAACCAGCCACGCATCGGCGACCTTTCCCTGCCCCGTGTCCATACGCGAAAACTACCGGCCGTACTTTAGCGGTATCGGGACGTCCCCGTCGATTAACGAGTGGCACTCGGGTTCCGTTCTCCCACCGAGCAACGTTACGCGCGAGAATACTAATTATTATAATACCGGACTTAATACCCGCGACGTGGAGATGGCGGTTAACATTGGCCGGGAAGAAAGATTTCGGTAGGCCATTCGGACGGAATGGCCTACCCAACAATAAAGAACTGCTTCCGCGCCTTTTCCCCACCGTCGGAAACGACAACGGGAGGGAGGATTAGGCAAAGTGGTCCGGGCCGGTACACACCCCTTCGCCTAATCCTCCCTCCAATAAAATAACGGGGCGGATAATTACGTACGCATTAGAAGTTATAAAGGATCCCGACCACGGCCGGCAATTCGGCCTCCGAAAAATTTAATTCCACCGCCAGACTTTTATTTTTTGGCCGGGTGGAACGGAGAACTCCGAGTTTTTCGTTTCCGGCGGCCGTTCGACGGGACCCAATCCGGTACGTACTCCTCGTTCCACCCGGAATTTAAACCCGCGCCGTATTTTACATCCGGTCGGACCGACTTTCCGCACGTTAAAGTAACAGAAAAAGGATAGAATCCGCGGTTTATTCCTTGGGCGAGATAGGAACGGCGCGGGCCCACGAGACGGAAGTGGTAAATTTTCGTGGGGTAAGGGTGGTGTCGTTTAAGACGACTCCCGCCCAATTAGCATCCGAAAAAAACAAAACCGTAAGCTTCCGACGTCCCCCTCGGCGTTTTCTTCTTTTTTAAAGGACGAGGGGATCGCCGGAGCCTCCATCCGGGACGAGAAGCGGGCGGCGAAAGGAGAGAGCCTTTGGTACCTTCGGTAATTACAAAATTCGTTTATTTATCTATTAAAATATTGGCCGATGGGACCACAAGACGCCCGTCTAAAGGCGCCGTTAGAAAATCAAAAAGGAGGATTAAACGCCCGGACGACCGGGCCACGCGCTTTAAGTAGTCTTCTGTCAATTCTTCCAGACTTTTCTTCGGCAGAAATCTTCCGCCTGTCGGACAAAAACAAACCAATGAACGAAACGAAGGAGCTTGGGAGGGAAGAAAGATCGGCGACACTCACCTGGCAGGCGGCGGCGTGCGCCCGGCTCTTGCACCAGTAGTCTGGGCCGAATGTGCACTTCTCGGCTCCCAACAGACGGGCCGCCCCCGGTGCCCGGGGACAAAGTTCGACGGACTGAAAGAAGCGGAAGGGTCAAACCCGGCGGAACAGAGACGAGAGAAGGAAGGACACACCGCACTCACCTGACACACCCGTCGGCCGTCGGCCAGGGTGCCGATGGTCTTCAGGATAGTGGGTCCGTACAGCTCCACGATGGACACGCACTGAAAGAACGGAAAAGGACGGATCGAACCCGGAGCGAAAGGAAGCCTCCTTCCGCCGGATGTGGCGGAGTCGGCCCCTTCCGCATTTCGTCGACCTCCGGGAGGCCCGAATTCCGGCCCATTCCCCCTCGGCCGCCGCGCTTCTTCCGGGCTCGGTCGTCGTCCGGGTATTACGCAAATCCTTGGTTAACCGCCGGCGGAGGGCCTCCGTTCCTAGGAAATTAACCGCGCTTTCCGTCCGTAAGCGGTACCCGTCGGACCTCTTCCCCCTCCTCTCGGGTCGACTCCCGCTTTTCGAGAGGGGTGGCCCGACACTCGGCCCGGATACCGAGGGGCGAAGCGGTTATTAAACGTACGTACCTCTTGTCGGGAAGAAGCGGGTAGAAGCCGACAGACTCGACTGGCCAAGTCGGTGATCTCCCGATCCACTTGGTTGTCTTCCAACAACCCGTCCAGGTAATCGACGACGGCTCGGCACACGTCGCAGGTATTCAGTTCCGTCTTAGCCTCCCGTCCGACTGAAAGAATAACCGTTTAATTATTGTTTTTAAAGGTGAAAATCGCGGCGGAAAGAAGGGAAAGCGGTCTCACCCGACTGGCACAGTTTGAACAGGGGGCAGACCACGCTGGGATCGATCTCTTGGGCCAAGAGAACCACTATGGCGTCGCCGTATTCGTCCACGAAGGCGCGGCATTCGGAAGATAAACTCTCGGGCAGGTAAGAGCAGACTTTCTCCACCAGGTCCTTAATTTCTCGCTGAAAAAAACAATTTGGCCGTTGTCTACAAATTATACGAACGAAACGCCGCGACCAAAATCCCAATATTAGAATTTTTGCCGTACAAGAGAAAATCGTCCGAAGTTATCGAAGGTTTGGGCACTCCTCGCGTATTATTTCAATTGTTTTCGAAAGGTCTCCGTAACTCGTAAAATTTAATGCCCGGACGGGTGCCGTTACCCACCCGGCCGCACTGGCAACGGGCACGAATAAAGGCTCTCACCGCCCGGTAGACGGAAAGGAATAAACCAAATTACGCGACTCGAAAACATTTGACCGATTCGGATATTGTTCAGAAGGGAAATTTTCCCAAGTTCTCGGTTTGCGAGCAGCGTAGGCCTTCGCTAATATCCTTATTCAAAAATGTCTAAAATATCGAGCCGATTATAATATCTCTGATAACGAAAACTTCTCTAAAACGGATTTCCTTGCAGTGATGCAGCATCAGCCGGATTGCCTATTTAATTAACCATTTGTACACACAACCCCGTACTGTACTTGTCTACCGTTCGGAAAATACGAAAATTAACACCGACTTTTAGTATTATTTTAAATAAATGTTTAAAAATTGTTGTTTTAGTATTTTGAAAATAAGAGTGTCTAAAACGGATTAAACAGGAAAGTTACTTGTAATTATTGTGATTCTTACAAATGAAAACTGTTTACTGCGCTATAAAAACCGAAACGAAGTGACTTTACCTCGGTAGAATTTGACACGAGTTGTCCTTGCAAGAAGTGCAAGAAGTACTGGCAAAGGGTGCATTCCAAATTCTCGGCTAGAAACGAAACAAAAGTTTTATTTATTCATTCCATTCCGAGTAATCGACACGGCGTACGATTTAATACTTACAAGGACAAATGTTCAGAAGCGAGCAGATCATTCTTGGTTTAATATTTTGAACTAAAAGCGTGACGATGGTTTCGGTATATTTATCGATAAATTCTTGACATTTTTTGGCGTAACTTGCGGGTAATAGCGAACATACAGTGTCCAAAGCGGCCCTGATTTCGTCCTATTTATACAAAAATTTCATTTATCGAAAATCTAGACCGGAGGTCGGCAACCTACGGCACTCTGATTAAATAGGAATGTAGTAAAAATTACATTTTAATTATTAATCACAGGTTTAAATGCGAGTGATAGTTCAGCCAAGGCCGCGGTACATTAAAAAACGATTCTCTCGTTTGTATATTTCTATTACAGCGCACGCATTTAAGCTCCGTGTCGCCGTCTACGTGTTACGGGAGCGCTTCACCCGCCAGAACATAATTCAATTAACAACTTGGCTTCAAAAGTATACATTTTTCAAGTTCGTTATAACCGGACTAATTTTGATAATATATATAATAAACTTGTAGAATCGCGTCGGCACTCGGAATAACGCAATAACTTACGTTCGGAGCAACACCGATAAAGGTGCGAGACCCCTACTCTAGAATATTTGCTTAATTAAAAAATTGTAATTAATATTACCGCCAGACAATAGCCTAATCCCTTTCACCCCAAGACCAAACTGCGCAATTCGAAAGATGTCTAATTACAGTACGTAGAGAGAAAGATGGAATTGGACCGCGAAACTCATTCTTTATAGCGAAATTCGATACTCGATCGACCCTTTTTAAATACGATAAGAGATTGCAACGAGCCGTTGGAACTCGGTTTTTGCGTTAGCCAAAATCGAGAGTCAGAGCGTTGTATTAAAATATGGGACTTTTGAATCCAAACCGAACGTCATTCGGAATGTAATATCCGACGTAACCGACAGAAAAGAGCCAAAAGTGGTAAAGCTATTCCAATAATAATTGGAGCTCTCGGTATCGGCGTAGCATCGAATTAGGTTATGAATTTTTCGCGGCAAAACCGAGCCAAAGTGATCTATTAGCAATGGCTCTGGGTGAGCCCAGAATAAATTCTACTTAGTGTTTGATCTGGAAAGAAATGGCGAAGTTCTTAACTATTTCTGAAAATATCAATAATACCGCTTAGGTGGAGAAAACACACACTATAAACGTGTCTCTGGTCATCTTGGTTTTATAAATTGGTAGATTCTAGACAACGATTAAACATTCTTACAACACGTTGCTAATGTGTGGGAAAAACTGAACCTAACATAATGTCTGGCTAAAATGTAAGATTTCTTTTCAATTTTTCACTCCGTCTAATAAATTATTTTAAAAAGCTTTCGTTTCGTCAATACTTTCTTGCCGACAAAATTACAAGCAAATCGATCACTTTTTTGTATTTTATTTTCATCGGTCTCAATTTTAGAAATTGCATTAAAATTTTAGCCTATGGCAATTGTGTATAATATTTGTTAGTTGCGAAATGAAGAATTTAAAATTGTAATATTTTAGACGCCCTGTAAAAGCTGCAGAAATGATAGCCATACAAAAAACGAAAGTATTGCTGGGAGGTCTGAAATTTATGTAAAATTAGCGAAACATCAGTAACTGTTAGAACAATGATGAGCTAGTCCTTTAACTTAGACGAGAATGAAGTTTAATTCTAAGACTATACACGCAGTCGTACACACATCCAGAACTTGGAAGGTCTCTTGTTTCCAGCCATCTTACACGGGTGTTGCTAATTCGTAGACAATTTCCTATATCGACACGCGCTTTAGTTTCCTATAATTCATTTTCCCTAACAGTAACAAATATACATTTGTATATAACAGGCTTGGCCAAATTATAACGAGGTATGATTGACTTTCGCCAGTCAGAAGTATCACTATTTCTTAGACATATTGAAAAAAAACAATGTTATTTTTTTTAATATAAGCTTATTAACCCAACGTTATAAAATTATGCCGAAAAACACTTATTGCTTGGTAGTTGACATTCTACGTTACCTTCTTTTGGTAAAAATACAAAGGCATAAAAACTAAACTGCTACAATTATTATAATATAAAAAGAATATTTCTGAACTTAGAAATTTTTTAAAAAATATATATCAAACGGACAATACATAAAAAGTGTTCTCAAACTTCGTCCCTTTCACACGGTAGTAATTAAGTTTGGTGGAGGAGAGGCTACTCTTCCGCCTCAATATGTAAAATGTTAAAATCATCCCTCCGGTGACGGGACAATCAGTTAAAAACTATACATTTGATCAAAAAGGTTGCCCGGACAATAAGTAAGAAAGGTTGACTCCACGGCGACACCTAATTCCTAATGCGCGCGAAAGGGACAAAATTTGAGAACACTTTTAATATATTATCTGAATTTTTTTGAAACTTTGTTAGTTCAAACTTATTGTGGTGACAATTTCTTTTGAAATCATAGAATATTTCTATTCGGCTTCAAATCCATAAGTTCGGACACACTCATTTTGCACAAACCGTTTAAAGTGCATTGACGCGATTTCTACAATAACGGATCGTTGACACAAAAAACGCGTCGTTACCTGGTTTGGTCTTTTCGTTGCGTTAGTCGAAAACGGACGATCGCTCGTTATCTCGTACGGCGTGGCAATAACAAACCGTAGCGACGGTCAAAAGATTTCAAAATGGAAATATAAAATTTACGTTTGTTTTTTCATAAAAAATACAAATATTTTTCTCATTTTACCCAGCCTCATTATCTACCATCGATCCAAATTTACGCTACTATCATACAACCGATTGTGATTTATTGACTGGTTGGCCACGACTGGTACAAGTGCTAATATTTTTACATAATAATATACTGTATATACCCTTACTTTCCTGGCTCTTATACCTAACAGGATAAGTATGGAGATTGGTCAAAAAAACTGATCTCCAAGAATTTTATATTTTTGACTCTGACCTAACATTGTCAAGAAATGCCAAGAAAAAATCCAGGTTTTTCTTGCGTATATATGGGCATTACTGCGTGCATACGATACGATTTTCTTCACCCACTTTGAAGCTTAATAAGGCAACGCGCATTTATTGTGACGACAGAGATGGGGAGGGGAGGTCGGCGTGTTTGCCAACACAATAATTGACAACAAAATATTCCAAAATAAACGAATCGACATTTATCGTACATATAATTGCACAAATGGGGAGGGGAGGCAGTGGTGATGCCAAATTTTATACAGAAGGGGTTGGGAGTAAAAAATGAAGCAAAATCTTTTGTCGCAATTTGTGCGTGTCATCTAACTCCTGCGCGTTTTGTTGAAAATTTCTGAAACGTTGTGGGAGGTTTGTGTATTAGGATATTGTCGCTATTAAATTTTTGTGGTTCCCGGACGAGGAGTGGTAAAATGGAGGGGGACGCGTGTCGTATCGAGTAGAGTTGGGTCTAACGAAGTTTTACTAGTTATTAGCATTTATGATTTTTTTATAAAACTCATTCGTAACAGATGACGACACAGTTTTAAATGTTGTTGAAGGAAAAAGTTAAGCAATCAGTTGCTAAATTTTTAAATATTTGAACTTAACATAAGATATATGCATATAATAATTTAATTTTTGGAATAGTTCAATTAAATAAATTGTAAAAATTCCTTCAGAAAAATGTTTTATGTAAAATTTTAGCATTATAAATTATATTAAAATTTAATATTAGTCTATCTTACCTCTGTACTTTTATCTTTTAATTTAGTTTCCAAAGCTTCCATTATATCTTTACATAAGGTACATTCTATATTTGTATCTTCAACATTCTGAAGACTCTCATTTTCTATAATTTACATAAATTGAAAAAAAAGGTTAACATATATTTATTTTAGTATGTCTTTACACGCTAAAATTAATTATTATGTCTAATTATTTAAAAAATAAATATTAAAAATTTATTCAATTTCAATTATATAATTTATAGAAAAATTAGCTTTAACTTCTTTGGTTTGTTGAATTACTTTCTGAAAGTTATGTATTTCTGATAAAAAAAAAAATTCACATAAGAAAGATTTCGATACGTCTTAACCCGTCGGAGTAGCTTTCGTAATATAAAATGCAAAAAAGAAGGAACTCTTCCTTACTATTAATTATTTTTATGTCACCCCAAATCCAGGAATGTCGCTCATTTCGTCAAATCATCGTATCGAGTGTATTTCATAAATTAGGCTAATTTTGAATTACCCGTTTTGTCAGATTGCAACTTTATATTTTCAAATTAAATATCAACGTTTGTTTCACTGGCTGAATTATGTCTTTAAAAATGTTAGGCAAAGATTTTGGTATTGTCTTCTTACTCGAAAATTACTTAATATTTTGTACATTCTAATGATGTTTATTACATAAATGTTACGCTTAAGCCCTAATCTAGTATTCGCTGTATGTAGAAAATACGTAAGAACTCGCAACAAATCTTCAAAATTAAATACAGTAGAACCTCCATTATCCGGATTAATTGGGGATGAAGGTAGTCCGGATAAGGAAAAATCCGGATAATCGAAAATCCGGATAATGGAAGTCCGGATAATGGAGGTTCTACTGTATTACAAAATAATAATAAATGAAAACGAAACAAAACTAAAGCTGATCGCGTAATCCCAACCGATTATGGTGTGCGGATAAAGAAAACAAACGTTTTCCAACTCCTTCCGAGTGTCAACACAGTTTAGCCGTTCGTCCAGTCCCTGTAGGGTGACTCTTTGCGCCATGTGGTTTTAATTTTTCAAACTTATATTCGAATGCTCGTTCAAATTTTATTCCAAAAGCTGTTACGAAGAACCATCGGGGAATTGTTACAAAACCCGACGAAGAACTCCGAAAGAGTTCAAAAACATTTGTTTTTGTCTTCTTTGTCCGCACACTGTGATCTGTCCGGAATACGCGATTAACTGCATCAGTGTGGCCAGTGGTCGTTTAAAACAAAAGTTCTCTAAAATACATACAAAGTAAGGACAAATTTACTGCAACAATGCGCAAATATCACTCCGCAAAGTGACAATTTGGTAAATTTGGAAGAATACTGCCAAAATTCCCTAAATCCGACGTCGACTATACTGTATTTCACAAATTATGCAAATTTTTGCCCTTTTACAAAATGAGCAATATTTCCAAAATATTGCTCATTTTTTGAAACGGGCAAAAATTTAATAACGTAAAAATCGGTAAACATGGCGATTTATAAATGCTGAAAATAATCTAATCTAAAGCGAGGGAACAAACGTGAACAAATACTTAAATTTTTAACTTAAATACAATTTAAATACTTAACAAAGATAAAGATACTTTGCTTCCGTTTTCCATCCGTCGTTCGCTCCAGTAGACAATCCACAACTTCCCGAGCACGGAGGCGACCTTGCTTGTGAAATTGTGCATTGTCTACTGAGCGAATGGAAGCGAAATATCTTTATCTTTGTTAAACGTCGCAACTTTACATTTATTTACACAATTAAGTGTAATGAAATTAAATGTATTACCGTCGGACATGTTTTTATATTTTTTATTTTACTTAAAGTTTTGTTTGTTCAATATTTCTATTTGCAATGAACGATAGTTTTACTAAAACGTAACACGTTTTAGTAAAACTTAATTCTTTAGTACTAAAAAATTAAACGAGTATCGAACGTGTTACGTTTTAGTAACTTTAGATCTGGCAACACTAGACATTTGTTGAGTTCTCACCGTTACTACCAATTTTTAGTTGACTTTGATGCGCGAATGGCAGCATTAATTGGCTGTTGGAATTGCCAATTTTCTCTCCCAATAAGTGATCCAAAAGTTATTAAATTTTGATACAACAGTTTTTGATACAATGGAAACGGGGGACCTTAAAACTGAAAACAAAAGCCGCAGTCGCTAAGTCTCTAAGTTCAAAAAATGAATCGCCTCACCTGCGAATGACTCGCTTTGATTTAGAGAAAATCGATGCAGATAATACACCGAATGTCCATATATATATATATATATATATATATATATATTTCAAACTTATTTCATTAGTAAAAGTGCATAGTTGCAAAATAATTCATTTTTATTGTTTAGGCTACAAAAAGTTCAAATCCGCTACTTTTGGAGCACAACTTTTTAACCATCAGATCTGGCAACGCTATCTCCACAGCCACAAGTATACAGTATTGCTATTGAATGCGTAATAACTTATCCTTTACAGTTAGTAACTAAGAATTTATAGTTTATGTATTTAGATTGAAACAGCAACCATTATTTATGTAAAGCTGTGTATATCTTCACACACGCAGTATACTATGTATGGATGCACGCTTAAGTATGTACTATATGGGTGTAAATACAATTTATAAAATCTTCTGATAAAGACTTCAAATTTTTTTTTTGTAATTTCAGTCTTCTAATATTTACTACTAAAAACAAAAGTACAGTAATATAATTTTAAGTTTATATGACGAAGATTCAGAGGCTTAGTGGTAGTCTAAACTAGTGGTTTAGAATGAGGCCTTGAAACATTTCAGGAAGGCCACAGCCACAGGAACTGCCAGTGGGCCACCAAAACAATAGTGGATCATACTAATTAGCAAATGTATTTTCTATTTTGTACACATTAATTCTAAATGTCACATTACAGAAATACTAATTAAAAATTCAATAACAAGGATAACAGAAATAAAATGGCTTATTAGTCATTTCTAGATCTCTAAGACCTATTAGAAAAAGAAGTCTCAGAATGGGTGATAGAACTTTTAAATATGGCTAATGAGGATTTCTGACTACAAGAATGTCTTGTGGATCTGCGGAGCAATTCTGCACTTCCAGCATGACTCAGAAACAACATCAATTTTAGGAACAATGCAGAAATTGGAAGTAAATTTTGACTTTTTGTCGCGTCCCAAAGCTAAGTTTCTCCAGTTTTTCAAGGTCTAATTAGATTTTAGTAGATTCACTCACCGACGTAGAAAGCTCAAAACAGACTGGATGTTAAGAATGGGAGATTATTATGTTTAATGAATTTCCAGCCAAGTGTGAGGTTAGCCCAGTTGGATGGAAAGTGTCAGGACAATCGAGCGGTCAATACTGTCGTGTGGGAGTGGAAAGACTCACGGAGACAGGTTTACCATTTAAAACTGTTTAATAAAATCGAAATTTCTTACAATATTTTCTTGAACAAAGGAGTATCACGGCACAAAACGCGAGGATTAAGTACAAATAAAGTTTGAATGTTCGAGTTTTCTTTTCCTATGGTTCGGCGAGGGTGGCGATACAATCGTAGACTCCGGGGCGTGTGGTAAGACTTTGGGCGGTTCTCCTCGTCATAAATTATTAAATATTTAACATTTAGGGAAAAAAAAACTTATCAAATAATGAACTATTAATACAGAATAATCGACGTTATTTTAATGTTAATACTATATGCAAGTATCAATATTTATGATTTTCATTCTTAAGACTAAAAAAAATCTCTCTCAAAATCAAAAACTTTATATATGGGGGGAAAATTTAGTAACTGCTTATTATTCCATTTATAATAAAATAATTAGTAATTAAAAATATTGCTGTTATTAAATTTCTTTCGTCACTTGAATAATAATAACTTTTAAAATAATTTTATTGCTTGGGAAGAGGATACTCCGCAAAATCTCCATTTCCTAATGGAATTCACTTCTGATGACTTGGAAGTAATAATTTCTGCATTTAAGAGATTTGGGACTCAAAATATATCAAAATGCCATCAGTTTTATCAATAGCAACTGATGGTTGGCACTTTCCCCACTGACTGAGCTCGTATACTGCGGCAATTTATAACTTCTACCACGGACACAATAATATCAGACTAACGCTGTCTTTTTGCAATTATCTAAAACAATAGAATTAATTTTTCCTTGTACTGTTCCCAAACAATCACGGCATTTGTAAACAATAACAGATTGATTCGTCTCTGTACGACATCGCATGTTTATTATTAGGATACAAAAATCAAAAATAAAGACAAAATACGAATTTTTATGACGACAGTTTTAAAAAAGTTTTCAATAATAATCTTAGCAAAATATAAAATAAAATCAACGTCTTGATTTATAAAAATTGCAAAACATCGATCAAAAGATCAAATTATGAAAATGGGTCATTAGAAAAGACACTGGAATTTTGCAGAAAGTTTTGACATTGAATTCAGGAAATGGAAAGGACTTTTTCAGAGGACAATTTTTTAATAGGTTTAATATTTTGCTTTTAAGTGACAACTATGTATTAAGGCAAAAATTTAAATCGAAAAGGCAAATATCCAATTTGCTAACATTTATACTAAGAAAAGAACAAATGCATTATGCTTAGATTTTTTAGTTAAATTTTAGTTTATATAATTATTTAATAGATAATTTCAAGTTAAGAAAACACACACATTTAAATGCTAATAAAACAAAACAACCTTAACATGGGAGAAACATTTAAAACAAGGATTTTTCCCCTTTGTTAACAAAATTTAGTTAAATACGTAAAAAAAAACACGAGGTTGGCACAAGTTTTCATATTAAATTCATGCCGACTATTTCAAAAATTTATAAGACTACTTAGAATTATCATTTTAAAAAAAGGGATTCCAGATCACTTTATACATTCAGACTTATTCTTATGTTAAGCATTTTTCTTATTGTAATTTCAAAAAGTCTCTACAGTATGTGAAAATTCCTTTTCTATCAGCTTTATTCATTTTAAGTAAAGAATCCAAAACTACTAAATATTCTAAAAGACATTGATTAAATACAGTAGAACCTCGATTATCCGGACTAATTGGGGATGAAAATAGTCCGGATAAGGAAAAATCCGGATAATCGAAACAAATACTTTGTCTTTTAATGATAATACAACACGTTTTCTTTTCGATTACATATCGGTAATATTAAAAGTAAATACAGTACAGTATTTAAATCATTTTCAAGAAACAAACGTTCGTATTGAATTCGGACTACTACTGACCAGCGTTAACAGACTACCTATTGTTTAAAAGGCCCTCTGGTGGCGCAAGAAGACGGACTTTATGAAATAAAAAGCAGTTGAAACTGCATTTTTATGAATAAAAATTTGACAAACTATTTATCGTTTTATGACGAGTAAAATTTTTTCGTCTCGTTCACGGCTTTTAAGTAATGCATAAACATTCGAGGCGCGAGGCCCTTCGGACTGCGAGGCATAGGCGGTGGCCACGTCGTCCATGCCTTACGCCGCCCTTGGTCATAGAAATGATGTAATTTGAATATAAATTATTTATAAATGCTTATGTCAAGTTATATTTTTATTACTACGTAAAATATATTTAAGAGTTTACGACCACTGTGCTGAGTGAGACATTGTTGAAACAAAAAAAGTTATGCATTACATCACGTGCGTAAACAGTGTCGTAATTCGCCAAGTGCAAATCAGCAAATTCGTAAAATTTTTGTTTATTTTAAACAATCCGGATAATCGAAAATCCGGATAATGGAGGTCCGGATAATGGAGGTCGTACTGTATATAAAATCGGTATAAAACAGTTTTTAAAGACTTAATTAAAGCTAATGTGTTTTTCATATCTTCTCGAAATTAATTTTTTGTATGAAAAACTTTCCAATTTCAACAATATGAAAAGGTTTTGCTTTCTATTGCATTTTACAAAAAAGTTTTTTTCATCATAATTCACATTTGAAAAAGTACTTTCATATTTATTCGTGTAAAGACATTTTGTTTAACTATTATTTAATTAAAAGTAGTTTAAAGATTGATTATTGTAGATCAATTCATTAAATATTTTGTATGAAACTGATTTGAGAGGAAGTGACACAGATGTGTCGCTTCCTCTCAAATCAGTCCTGGCAATGAAAGAAAGTTGTATCCGCAACATTCTTTCATTGCCAAGCTAGTTTCCAAACTATCCATTTAAAAAAAATCACAAAGATACTTCGAGATCATGCACAACACACTGCAAAACTTTCTGGAACACCGAAAACTTGATCCTAGATTGTAAATTCAACAAGCATATTTTGAAGTTTGTTGGGAAGACCTAATTATATTGAATATTCATAATTTTAAGTAATATGAAAAAAATGCAATAGGTTTCACTAGACCCATTGACCATAGTCTGTTCATAATATTAGACTAATGTCTGATTACATATATTTTTAATTAATTATCAAAAATTTTAAATAATCTTTTACTTACTGGGACACAATCCTAATTTTGCACATATTTCGTCCGGATCAAATTCTTGTAAGAGCAAAGAAATAATTAAATCAGTATACTGATTTACAAAGTCTTCACATTGTTGTGTTAGTGATTGGGGAAGAACTGAGCAGACTTCATCTAAGGCTTTTTTTATTTCGTCCTATTGGATAAAGTAATGCTTTTGAAAATGTATAAATGAATAATTAGACAAAAAAAAAATGACTGACCTCTGTTTTGGGATCTTTTAAAACTTGTTTCAAATATGTCATTACATCTTGACAAAGTTCACAAGTAATTTGGCCTTTTATTGGGTTTTTAAAGTTTTCTGCAAAGAAATATTTTAATATTGAATTTATAATTATGAATCCAGAGCAGTGTGATGAATATTGATAAACATGTTTTATTTATTCATTTTATTACTTAAATTTATTATTTTATTTCATTAAATTTACAGGAAACATCTGGATAGACATTTAATTTCTGCCCACTACAAAAACATGTATCATAAAAACAAACAACACCCCTTAAAACAAAACAAACTAAAAAAATAAAAAACCAGGTAACAAATTTTAAAACAGATACAATGCTTTCTCAAATTTTAATTTAAAAATCAGGGAGATTAAGATGTAAAAATTCATCAAGCTTATCAAGGTTTAGCGATATACGGGCAAAAGAAAGATCGTTGGGATAGATTTAGACGATAAAAAGGGTAAAAACATAAGTAAATGAGCAAAGTTTTCTCTATGGAATTTGAATTGAAAGCCAATCTTAATAAATGAGACCATTAAAATATTTGTAATATATTAACCAAACAAAATATTTAATTCTCTCGAAAGTTGGGAAGCCCAGGCAAATTCTACCAATATTAGAGTCAATAGAGAAAGGCAGATTACACATTTTGTTAAATGTGAGATAAATCTTATTAATAGCAAAAATAATCTTGTGTAAAAGGGAAGGTGCGACCGTTGACCAGATGGGCAATCCATAATTAATGCAAGATTGAAAATTAGCATAAAAAATGGCCCGTAGTGCTCTTTTATTAAAGATGGGCTTACAAAATTGGCATGAAATTCCACGTCTGATAGCCAGGGATTTAACCAGTTTAGCAGTATGATTTTTGAATATAAGTTTGGTGTCAAATGCTATGCCTAAATTGTTAATAGAAATTATGTAATTAATCGGATTAGAATAGACATAAAAAACAGGTGATGGAGGATTACGAATCAAAGCATAACATGTAATCACCGTTTTTTCTGCATTAATTTTCATGTTGGCAGATTTAAACGTATTTATTAGTAAATCAATATCAGACTGTAAGATAGATGGATCAGAACAGATTAGTTTTATGTCATCTGTATAAGCTATAAGAGGAGATTTAAGATGATAGAAAAGTTCATTTAAATACATTGAAAAGAAAGGCCATTAAGAATAGATCCTTGTTGGATACCACTGTGGGTAGCCTCTGAGGTAGGACGAAGTTGTACCTCTTTTTGATCAGCAACAGTTTGGTGAAAACTGCCCACTGGTCAGTTGATGGCTTATTTAAGTTTTCTATCCCGGAAAGTCGGGATTCTTTTGTCAGGTCAAGTGGAGGACGTGAGAGGGGTCGTCAGTAAAGTGTTGGCAATACCTGAATTAAAGACACCATATACAATAAAAACAAGAATTTATTAGGCAATAACATAATTAATATAGCTACATTGAACTTATCTCAAGCGTGCACGCAGAATTGGAAAGAAGCGCGCCGAGAGAGTTTATATTAATGGGTGTCATACCTCTACAAGTGGGAATCGGACAAGTTTGGGTCATTGGGTTGAGGAATGAACAGCGGTGATGAGGATCGGCAGGGGTTCTCATCAATAATGGTCAGTGAAGACGGGCGGCAATGCCGGGTTAGAGGATTGACAGTGATGAGGGATCACTGGTCACAAATGGTGATGGCAATGTCAGACCCCCTTTTTCCGTCGTCATCCCTCTTTTATACCTTTAGTCACATTCCTGTTTTTTGCCAATCACCGATTTTTTTTATAAGTTCCCTGTGATTCATTTTCATGTTCCTGAGAGATAGGAAACAGCTCCGGGGAAAGGAAATGGGAACATCCTCCTTCAAAAAATTTCAAAAAAGGGAAAATGGAGATTTTCTTTGTTAAAAAAAAATGGTTTAAACTTTTAATGTTGTCGTTAATTTTATTTTATTCAGTCCGACCCTCACACCACATAAAGAAACAAAATCAAGGAAAGTATAAAATTGCCTATATTTTAATTTTATAAGTTCTTAATAACTTATAAACTTAATAACTTAGGCAAGGAAAGTTGCCTANCAATATTAGAGTCAATAGAGAAAGGCAGATTACACATTTTGTTAAATGTAAGATAAATCTTATTAATAGCAAAAATAATCTTGTGTAAAAGGGAAGGTGCGGCCGTTGACCAGATGGGCAATCCATAATTAATGCAAGATTGAAAATTAGCATAAAAAATGGCCCGTAGTGCTCTTTTATTAAAGATGGGCTTACAAAATTGCCATGAAATTCCACGTCTGATAGCCAGGGATTTAACTAGTTTAGCAGTATGATTTTTGAATATAAGTTTGGTGTCAAATGCTATGCCTAAATTGTTAATAGAATAGACATAAAAAACAGGTGATGGAGGATTATGAATCAAAGCATAACACATAATCATCGTTTTTTCTGCATTAATTTTCAGGTTGGCAGATTTAAACATATTTATTAGTAAATCAATGTCAGACTGTAAGATAGATGGATCAGAACAGATTAGTTTTATGTCATCTGTATAAGCTATAAGATGAGATTTAAGATGATAGATATTGTTTAATATCTCAGAACAGAAAATAAAAAAATTAAACAAATTAGACACCAACACAAATAAACGTGCAAATTTTTCCCCTTTTATTGACTTTTTTGAGGGGTTCGGGAGTTCTCCAAACGTGTAGATTTGCAAAAAAAAAAACTTGGAGGGTCAAATTTGACACGATTACAATACTTTTCCGTTTTATATACATAACAAGTTGGTAAGTAAAAAGGAGTCGGAGTCGGCGGATTTTTTGACGACTCCGACTCCACAGCCCTGCTTAAAAGTTATGCTAGACTGTAAACTCTTATGGACTAACTAGCTGTTACCCGCAACTTCGTCCGCAGAGGTTTTGCAAGCAAACCCCATTTACATTCAATATTTCAATAACCATAGTAATTGTCATATAACACCTACCGCTGAAGAGAATTGCCGAGAATCAAACGAACTACCTTCAATTCGATCAATTTTCTGGAACGTTTACAATCGTTCTATAATCGAATCAATATGCAATAACAAATTCTAATTTAAAACGGTTCGAACATTTTAAAAATCGAAATAGATAAAAATATTTATAACAATGTCTGAAATGTTATCCATTTAATACACCCAAGTACTCAATGAAGACTAACCGTAGTTGAAAACGAAAAATCGTATCTAAAATAGTACAGTAGAAGCCATTTACCGGTTAAGTCTTAATGCTCTACCTCTCCCCCCGCGGGGAAATTTCGAAAAATCCTTTCTTAGTGCACGTTTCCATGACGTACCCTAACTGTCTACCAAATTTCACCTCTAAGTTCAGCGGTTTGCTCTGGGCGAACCTTTTTTTGCCAATTCGGGAACCTTTTTTTTTTGCCAATTCTTAACAGTCGAATCCACTCTCCGTCGATTATACTTACGAGTTTCTTTGAATTCTAATTTTCAAATATTCATCTGTTTTCACTTGGGAATAGATTAAAACTTGTATCATGCTCCCCCCAACTTGGACCACCTACAGCTAGGACTAATCACCAACTGCCTAAAGAAATGGCTTACTTGGCCACCCGAACCAGTACACTTATTCCAGGACAGAGAACTCTGGAAGGATTTCAGCAGGACCAGAGCCCTCATCTCCTACCCACAACAGAACGCCAGTGTACCTGAAGAAGAACACCCCAGTGGACGGACTGAATCCAGTTAGACTGATCAAATCTTGTCGCTGACTGATACTCTTGCTTAAATGTTGTCATGTATGGTGTCGGGAATGAAAATCGTCTAGCGCGCGGTTTTCCCGCCTTTTTCGTGAACGACCGTTATCGCCATGGAAACGGCAATCAGAACATTTTGAAAACTCGACCGCTGTTTGGTTAAGAAACATCGGACGATCGGCGGACGTCTTATACAGCTGGTAGATGCTGATTGGTGGAGTTCAATGTAGCTTCAATCCTATAAAAGCAGTGAAGTTCTGGCGGGAAGTTTAGTTCGCTTTGGACTCGTAGAATGAACTCACGTTGACCTTAGTTGCCGGAGCTGTCTTAGAAGATCGTCTCATCTTGTTGTGTTGTTGTAGACTTTGAATTCGTACGTCGCAAGGTGCTTTTCCGACGGACCTGTTGCAGGGGATCATTACTTTGAACTTTGTTAATATCTAATGTTTGTAATTCTTATATGTGAACTTTAATTGTAACTGTACATACGTTTATTTTCAATATACTCAATGTTTTTAAATACAACTGACTCTGAAGAAGTATTTTTAATTTGACTTATGGTTATCCATATGCAAGAGTAATTGGACCAGTCTCCTTGCCTTATTCATAGCCACACTCTGTTTTTATAAATTTAAATCATTTTGCTTTTACTCTGTTATTGTTCGAAAACTTCTCATCACGCGAACCTGTGTTCGGTCTCCTCCCATGCTTATGTACTGTACCTTCAATTCCTTTCTCTGCTTAAACCACTTTGTAACTGCGATCACTTTATATACTGTTTGCACCGGTTTGTCTCTAAACACAGTTCTTTATTTCGGATTTATTTTGTACTGCGCAGACTGTCTACAGCAGTGTTTTTCAACCGGGGTGCCGCGGCGCCACGATTGGGGTGTCGCAAAGTTTAGGGCCTTTAGTCATTTTCTTAGAAATTTACTTAAGTGTAGTTCAAGATAACTCATTGTCAGTTCTATTTTGCTACGAGATATCTAGTAAGCAAATCAACGATGACTAATCGCATGTTAATGTAATGTTCAACGCTACGTGTACGCACGACTTGTCACNATATTATTAATTTTTATTAGCTGGATTATTAAAGGTGTGTTTTATTAATAGTATATTTATCCAGTTCGTTCGTTACATAAGATAATTAAACTGTTTCCCACGGACATATTTCCTGGTTGAAGACAATACATCAAGTGGTCATCCGGAATCGACGACAGAAAATTCAACTATTGGACAGTGAAAGAAAAATTCCTAAAAAGGCCATGGGAATAACCCAATGGTGACCCCCTAATAAAAGGGAGGGGTCGATGAGTCAGACAGAGTC